ATTTTATAATATATATATACATACATATATACATATATACATATATATATATTTCAATCTTAAAACAAATTGCTTAATTAAGAAAAATTACAATTTTATAATATATATATATTTCAATCTTAAAACAAATTGCTTAATTAAGAAAAATTATAATTCTGTCTTTTGTTAAAAATACCATTATACTATAGGTAAGAAATATAATCAAATAAATTTATATGAATATAAATCACTTTTATAATTTAATTTTAATTATCCCAATAATTTATTAAAAAGTGAAAGTTAAAAATTTCTATTTATATTTTTTTCAAATTTTTTAATATGAAATTTAATTTAAAAAACAAAAATTTGTTATTCATCATATATATATGACTCATTTAATTTGATAATTTTTTGAATATATACTATAATTATTCAATATAATTATTGACATAGTTTAATATTTGAAATTGAAAGAAGCATAATTTTATTTAGATATAAGCCATTTTGATACTAGAATTTTGAAATTTAGAATTATATTCAATATTTATATTCATATATTCAAATTTTCATCTTAATATAATGAATTAAAAGATTTAGATTCTTGTGATTTTCATTTTTGCTTGTTGCGATATATATTATTATACTAAATTAGACAATATTAAATAAGAATATTTGTGCAATTTTTTTCCATATTTATATTAATTATTTGATTTCTTTTTAGATGTAACGTAATTATTAATTAAATATAGATATAAAACCAATTTCTTAGTTTCATTTTTTAATTTTCTGTAATTATAAAATAGTAAGTAAAATTGCAAATACTTATATATATATATAATAAAGAATTTAAAATCTTATTGAAAAAATATATATAAAAATATTAAGAAATAAATCCTTAATTCATTCAATTCTAGTTATATTATTATTATTTAAAAAATAATAATAATAGAAAATATTAGGGTAAATTAGATATTAAAGAATTTAATATAATATCAAAATCAATATTTAAAATTTGATTTATTTTCTAAAATAAAATTGGATAATATATATCCCATTCTTTGTTTTTAACATTTCTTTTTACTTTACATTTATTTTTATTTCATTTTTCAATGAATAAGAAAAGAAACTTTTTCAAATGAAATTATTATTTATATTTTTAATTTAATTATTCAGTTTTTTTAATTTATTTTTATTTCATTATAGTATATATATATTTTTTTTAAAAATGTAACTTGATTGAAATTTTCTTTATATATTAAACAATATTGACATGTATACAGACATCTACAGAAATATTTAAATATATAATAATAATATAATAATATATTATAGAAATATAAAGTATATATACAAATTTATACTATTTTTCTATTATTTACTTCTCTTTGTTACTAGTTTCGTTGATTTCATTTTATTTCAATTCTGGAATTTCTGGAATTTCTGAATTTCTATAATTTCAATCACATTATTTGTAATTTTATAAATAGGACAATTTTTATTCTTGCTTTCTATAATTATTTTCTTATTAATGCATTTATTGTTTTTTCTTTCAATCTATTACTGTTTCTAATTTTGATTTATATAATGATAGAAAAATATTTTTTATTATTTGCATTAAAATATGGTAATAATTCAGTAATATTTTTGAAAATAAAAGTAACTGCTTAAATTTTTAGTTGCATTCTAGAATTCAGATATATTTAAATATCACAATGTTTCTTTTTCTGTATTTAAAAAATAGAATGCTAACAATTATCATTCATATTAACACTATTAAATTTTTATTTTTTCATAAATGCTGTAAGTATTTGCATTTTTGGTATCTAATATAACATATAGTAATAAAAAGTTTAAAAATTGTTTTTTAAACAATTCTTTAATATATACTTCTTTGAAAACAATTTAATAAAACTTTTGTACATTAGCATAAAATTCCATTATTTGCTCTTCAACAATCTGATATAAATTTTTAATTTCATTTATTAAATACAAAATTTTAAAATTATAAAAATCATTTCTGGGAAAAAAATTATTTATATATTATTTGTACATATCTAAATTGAATAAATTATCTTTTTCAATGCAATATTATTTTTTTAACTTTAGAATTATATAATATATTAAAATATTTGAATTTTAGAATAAAATTTTAAATTTAAATTTATATAGAGATATTATATAGAGAATTATATATAGAGATTTATTTTTTAAGTTTATAAATAAAACTTAATAAATAGAGATTTATTTTTTTAAGTTTATAAATAAAACTTAAAAATCGCAAATATGCTTTTATAATCGAAATGATTAAATATTATTTCTATTGTAAAAAGATCTGCTTTTATGTTTGCTTCTGCAAAAATATTAAATAAAATATATAATATTAAATAAAACGATTCATCATTGCAATATCTTCTTCATATACTGATGTATAAATAACTAAATATATCTGAATAATAAATTATTAATAATAAATTATTATCAATGTCCAAATAAATCCAAAATAAACTCTACAATATTAAATATTTAAGGAAAATGTTATAATTTTTGATTCATCCAAAACTGGAAAAAAATTTAAAAATTATCGAAATTAATATCACAATAATTGTTTGATTTAACTACTGATAAATTAGAAAAAAAAACTAAATTTATTGTAATTTTATTATTTTAAATACAGAAAGAAATATTTATTATATTAAAGAAATCCATGTTTTATACGAAACATTTCTTTATCTTTTTTATCTTTTATAAGTCAATCATTTTAATATATTCAATATTTCCTATTTGATGAAATCTATTGATGCAAATTAAGACTTTCATAAAATTTTAGATTAGAATTGAAAAAAAGATTGAATTTTTTTTTTGCATACTGATAATAATATAATTATAAATTATTGTAATTTTTTAATTTTTATTATCAAAAAAAATTTTTTTTCTATACTTTTTATTAGTAAACTTTTAATTTGGAATTTTAATGTAATATTCTTATTCTTTTTCTCAGAATTGGCAAATTGTAATTATAAGTAATTATAAGCGTTATTAACTAATAACTAATAATTAATTACTAACTAACGTAATCGTAATGATTAAATATAAATAAGAATAATTAAATATGATCAATGACTAAAAATGATTAAAAATTAAAATTAGAGATCATAATCATAACAAAAAAAATATACAAAATAAAAATTACGATAAATTAGAAAAAGAAAAAAAAATAATTAAATAAAAAAACTTGTAGATTTATTTTTTTAATTTAATTTTTAATAATAAATTTAAACAGAATCGTTGTAACAATTTGTAAAAAAACTTCATAAATCATTATCAATTGTATAATAACATATTGTTAATTTTAATCTTCTTATATTTTTTTTATTTTCTCGAAATCGTAAATCATATTTCCAACATCTGCATAACTATTAACTATTATTGTTTGCTTGACTGCAACAATGACAAATAAGACTAGCAATGATTTATAATATTTTATACATTTATTAATCTAAACCAATAAATCCAGTCACCAACATATTGAATCACATTACGTCTATATCATTTATACATTTGTCAATATTTGCCTAAATCATTAATCATAACAGATATTGAAATGATAATTTTATATATATATATATATAGTACTTATAATGATTATTTATTATATTCAAATGTATAGATAGGATGTATTGATCCAATATTCTTCCAACTTAGAGAAGAACAAAAATCAATATGAGATGGCCAATATTGATATGTATAGATTAATATTGTTACACATATTTTACATCTGGCATTGCTATAAATTCAAGTATTCAACAAATATAATTTAAAATAACATAATTAATATTGGAATTGCAAGAGTGTACGTGACGGTTTTTAAGTGACTCTCATTTAAAATTAGTATTATTTAAAAGTAATAATTTTTTCAATAGCTAAGAAATGCACAGCTTATCAAATAAAATCAATATGTGTAAAATGCGAATTTGATATATTAATTAAAATAAAAGATCATACACATAAAACATAAACATATAAACAAAATTTTTTATAATTGAAATAAAAAAAATACAATTTATATTTTTATACAAAACTTATACAAAACATGGTATTTCGCTTAC